GCAATGCTTCTTCCCATTTAGGAGGGTGGCAGCGAGGCCACCCTGACGTCATCCGTCAACATCTGCAGCCCTCAAATGACTCCCAAATCATTTACGCCACCGTGGTCAGAATTTTCATTACTTGTAGCCAAACACCATCATGAAATATATAACTCCTCATAAAATTAGATAAGAATGCAAACTCTTTCCTAGAAGCACGTGACCACATAGAGCAAGGGGGCCCTACTTCACAGTAGAGCCTGGATCCCCAATGGAGGGCTTTATGGTAACTCTCTCTGGATGGGGCAGATGGCTCTGAGAATCCTATTCCTGTGGCTTCTAGGTATCTCTCTGTTGCCCGAGTGTCAGTATCACACCCAGAGAACTGACCCAGAGATATATTTGCTTTCACTTAAGGGAGTCGTCACTAGCAAGTCCCATTTAAAAGTGGGAAGACATTGAGGTCCCTGATTAGGTATCTCTGTCTCCGACAGTCCAGTATCCTGGGAACCCCACTCCTCTGTGGCCAAGTCCTGATGCTGGCTTTATTGGGTGGTTGCTTTTGGATTTGATTAAGAGACCCTTGCTGCTGCTCTAGGCTAATCAGGGCTTGTCAGTGAAGGATCTGGGACCCTGAGTCCAGCTCCACTTCAAACCCAGCACAGCTGATATTTTCTCAACACGTACGTGTTTCCAAATAGCTTGCCCTCCCTAACTGGGAGGTGGGTGCCACTGTGATTGCAGATGAGTGATGGGTTGAGAAAACCACAGTGACTTTGAAGCATCCACAGCTGCACATAGAGAGGCTGGGTCTAGAATCTGGGTTGCCTGAAGCTGAAGGTCAGGTTCTACAGGATTATGATAAGCTACATCTTGATAACCACCCACAGGCGCTCAAAGTGGGAGGGGTCCACGTTATAGAGAGGCATATAACGTCTACCAGTCCCCTCTCCTTCCTTCAGCCCGTAGGTGAAGGTGGGCCAGCTAGGAACGGCAACCATGGGTAGGTACCAAGGCTCCATGTGTGCCCCATTGTCCCCAGCCTCTCTGCAGTCAGGTGAGGCCACATGACTAGTCCTGGCTATGGGGCTGAGAACAGATGTAGCATGTTTCATTCCTGAGCTGAGCAAGGTAAGAGCAGAAGTCATTCTGATCCCTCTTCCCATGCATGAGTGACCAGAGAGACC